CATAAACACCATTGGAAAATTGTATGAATCCGCCTATTCTCTCCCCAGCTATGGGTTAATTAGTAGGACTTGTATCAGTAGATTTATTATTATCTCCCAAACATTCTTACAATCTAAAAATAATTTACTGTATTAAATAACCTGCAAAAGGTTGATAAACCGTCAAAAAACTAATCAATTAATGAATCAATAAAGACAAAAGATAAAGTATTAGTGATCATTTTCCGACCTTGGCAAAGTTCAAAATTATTTATGCTGCCATGTGGGAAATGATATATTTACCACTCTACAGCCTCTTACCGACAAACACAATTTCTGTTGTCATTTCCAGGTCAATTTTTCCAACTTGAATCTATCTTATATATGAATAAGCCCGACAATTATTTTAAGACATTTTTATGTCTATACATTCTTTTTATAGATACAAATATTTAAGTAAATGCTCTGTTTATGATAAACAGTACTAAACAACGTTTACCGGCATGAATGTCCAAGAAATTTTCACAGAAAATATTCTTCCTCCGACAGGATTCGAACCTGTATCCTATACGGAACCGTATAGGATACAAGGTCGAATTTACTGTATTTGAACTTCAAACCGAACGATCCTCTGTGGCCCAATCGGTTAATGGCACGTCAGGCTATATGACTTAAAATAATTGTCGGACTTTGTCCATTTCATAATATATGAATAAGTCTATGCTTCGAATATATTGTCCGGTGCTCCTGTTGTATATTTAGAGATTCTTGACAAAATCCAACAAAGAATCTGCAATGTTATTGTTCCTGACCTGGCATATCGGCTTCAGTCAGTTTCTCACCGCCCTAATTTAGCTTCCCTGGGGCCTTATCTATAAATATTTTTATGGTAATTTTTCTGATGAACTTTTCTCTATTTATTTTTAGAATTTATGAATTTAAAAGCAATACTAGTTTGTCAACAAGGTCTCATCAATTTACAATTGAAATGGTTAGATGTAACCGAAGGTTCTATACTAATAGTTTCTTCTATCGCACTTCTCGCTTGTGGAACTATCTTCCGGACTCTTGCTTTGAAGGCAAGGTTGATCTTCAAAAATTTATATGCAATGTCAATCATTATCTTCTGTCTTTTTAATACTTGTTCTTTTATTGTTCTCTCTCCTTAATAGTGTTTTTTTTTCATATTCTCTAATACTCAGTAAACCCATTGCATCTTAGTAGCTTTATTGCCTTGCTTGCGGTGAAATGATTATATAGAAAATGTTTAGATGAAATTCATTCAGTAGTTGCGCCAGTGAAATTGTTTACTGCTTTGCACAAATCTTACATCCACGGAGTCGACTCACTCTCATTTTCCCCATATTTCATTCGACTGTACGGCGAAAGTTGATTTTTTTCCCAAGAATCGGAAATTGTACTGGGTGAAGTTTTATAATAATAATAATAATAATAATAATATACAAGGACCTTGAAATCGAAATCTCAAAAATGTGGCATATGGGAACATCAACAATCCCTGTTGTAGTTGGAGCCCTAGGATTGGTTGGAAAAAACTCCAGTAGACTAATTGAAGGGATTCCTGGAAGTCCATGGCTCAAAGACATACAAAAAATTGTTCTGAAAAGTACAGCCCACACTTTACGAAGGGCTTCTTTTTTTTTTTTTAATTTGTCAGTGGAAAATGTCATGATGCCATTTCTAACCTTAGGTCCCTGGGCGGGACCCGGGAAAAAATGTGTAAACGCCAGAAATCAAAGAAAATAAAAAAGAATAATAATTATGTTCCTGTGCCGCCGATTATACAGAGTATAAAAAATTATCCTAGCCAATTCTTAATGAAATATAGTTCCTAAATTAATTTAATTATGTATTATATTCTTAATGACATCGTAAAATGTTGTATCTATCATTAAACGATTTCCCCAAAGATGAAAAAAGATATTTCTCGATATAATAAGTCTAACACTCCTCTATACTTCAAATATCTGGTTCAGTGCTCCTGTTGCATTCTTAGAAATTCTTGACAAAATCCAAAGAAGAATTTGCAATGTGAATAGGTAATTTAAAAAAAGAAAAGCAATCAGAAATTATACGACTATATTTTCCAATATATTAAGAATTAATAAATATAAATATCTGTGAAATTCCATGGCTTCTTAGGAAATATAGTGGAGTCATTTATGATTGCCTTTCGGTTACATCTAGCCATTTCAATTGTAAAATGTGATATCCTCAGCAGGCTTCTGTAGAACCACATCTCCACATTAAAACCGACCGCACATCCAATCTTACGACACCTGTTATTCACAAACGGTTACAGATTTAGTTACTGAACCGACTGAACGTTGCTTAACTTCGGTGATGTTTCCAGAAACTTCAGCTGCCTCTTCCTACACTTGCAACTTATCGTGTAGGGCGTAGGCGATCATGGCTCTCCATCTCCGTCTTTTGGCAACTAACATAGCATTGCGGGGATTTCTTTTTGACAACGCGAGTCGCAAATCTGGATTCACATAGA